CCCATCACGCTGCACCATGTGACACCTCTTGTCCACACTATGGCCCTCAAGCTGAGGAGAGAAGTATAGAAGCACATCAAAGGTGCAATATTTCCACTTAATGCATCTGCTGAGCTGAGTGAATGTAAAAAGAAACAGCCCGGAAAGGATTCAGCGACTCACCTTGACATATTCATGGTGATCTTCCTCCAGCACCTGCAGGTCAGTCGTTAGGTAGGCTTAAACAGAGTAAAGGGTATGAAGAGAAATACTAACAACAGGAAACAGCAAAGATCAGTTTGTCCTAGCATCCTCTGCCTGCTGTCACCTGTCACTGCTGTCCCACAGGGGCAGTCATCAATGGCTCCGTGGCTCTGAGCATGAAGCATCATGCATGGCTGCTCTCTCCGGGCAAACTCCACCGTCACACTGAACTCCCCCAGCTCTCTCCCCCCCTCTGATACAGTCACCAGCGAGTCTGCAAACACACACTTCTGCAGCTCGGCAGGCTCTGAGAAGTGAAGGGACACAGAAGGTAAAGCCAAAGTGGACAGATTCAAATATCTGTAATGATTTCACGGTTTTTTGCTTTTCAGGTAGTTTTGGACTCAGCTGTTTCCTACCGACCATATTAGCCTAAATTGGATGCGAACTCACCGATGCCGGACATGAACGTGACAGCTTCGTCAGAGGCTTCCAGCTCCTGTCGGTGTTCAGGTCCTTCAGTCCCCGCTGAAAAACCCACAGCAGTCTGTTCACCCAGCGTGGCTTCCATCTTTAAAACAGCCTGAAAAGTGTGTGGGAGCAACTTCACAGGACACTCGCCTGCCTCGACAGACAGTCTGTCTGGGTAATTTTATGCAAAGCAGTCTTATCCCACACTTTTCCTGCTTAGCATTTTTCTGCTACGGAAGGGAAGCTGACGACCAAATCTCTGTTGGCATGGCAACGACGCTGGAGTACCGTAAAGACCATTGTATGTGTGAATTGTAGGCTGACTATTCACCACCAAATCTAGAGGAAGGAATTATACAAAAATAGAGGCGCTGTACATAAGCTAATAAAAAACAAAACAAAGAACACTGATTACTATTCCTCCTAAAAACCAGCAAATAATTTTTGTGAATTAATTTACTTAAGTCTGAGATCTTTACATCAAGCAAACAATTATGCAATACAATATATAATAGTGAATTCAGATCATAATTCTGATTGCAAAAGCTGCTAGACAGAACAATCTCAAAAACAGTCCTACTGTACTGTCAGGAGGACATCCTGGGCCACATTTGTGGGGGTCAGTCTAGCAGGCAACATGCTTACTTTTCAAAATGATGGCCATTTCACATGTTATAGCAA